ACTGACTCCCCAACTCACCCCAATAGGATCTAAACCTAGAAAGATGACTCCAGAATCGTCTGTGGCATCTACACCTCCCTGAGTGGGTGGAGAAGCCATGTGAATTATGGCATGGATCGAGGTCGGGTTGCTAGCCTATAGCAAACCACCCTAACTTCCCTTGAGAAACTTCCTGACATTTTTAGGAAGATGAAAGATCATTCAAAGCAAATTTTTATGCTAGTTCAATATTTTGTACCCCTCAACAGCTCCTTCCAAAGTGATTCCTCATCTCCAGATTACATGTCAAAACCTCATCCTCTCTCTACGTCTTTCCAAATTAATATGGATTTCGATACATTCTAGACAGATTTCAGATGACAATTTCATAACTATATCATCATTTTGTGCCACCACTGCCTTTTCTTGATTATTTTGCAATGATTCAAAGCTTAACCTAAATTTTAAAAAACATAATTATATTTTATATGGAGTCGAGCTGCCATTTGAGGTTGGCCCCATTGTCAAAACACCTACAGCAATGGACTATGAGCAAGAAGCTGGGGATGCTCGGGTGAAGAAGAGGAAACGACAGGTACAGCCCTGTCTACCCTCTGCTTCTATGAGTGGGGCCTAGGACAGACGTTGCCTTTAAGGAGTGGGGTATTGTGGTGACAAAGAACAGATAGGAGCTTTGGAGCCAGAAAAAGCTGGGTTGGCCAGAAACTTTTCAGCAGGTGCTATCTAAGACAAAGTCACTTACTTTAAACTTTAAAAATATATATATTGTGGGCCAGGTGCAGTGGCTCACACCTGTAATCCCAGCACTTTGGGAGGCTGAGGTGGGAAGATCAATTGAGCCCAGGAGTTTGAGACCAGCATGGGCAACAAAGTGAGACCCAGTCTCTACCAAAAAAAAAAAAAATCAAAAATTAGCTGGGCATGGTGGTGCATACCTGTAGTCCCAGCTATACGGGAGACTGAGATAGGAGGATTGCTTGAGCCCAGGAGGTCAAGGCTGCAGTGAGCTGTTTTCCTACCACTGCACTTCAGCCTGAAAGACACAGTGAGATTCTGTCTCAAAATAAAAAGGAGGGGTGCTGGGTGCAGTGGCTCACATCTGTAATCCCAGCACTTTGGGAGGCCAAAGCAGGAAGATCACTTGAGGTCAGAAGTTCAAGACCAGTCTGGCCAACGTGGTGAAACCCCATCTCTACTAAAAATACAAAAGTTAGCTGGGCGTGGTGGTGCACGCCTATAACCCCAGCTCTCAGGAGTCTGAAGTAGGAAAATCACTTGAACCTGAGAGGTGGAGTTTACAGTGAGCTCAGATCATGTCACTGCACTCCAGCCCGGGCAACAGAGCGAGACTAAAAATAAAAAAAGAAAGAATTATGGTAAAATAGACGTAACATAAAATTTATTATTGAGACAGGGTCTCGGTTTGTTTTCTTGCAGCCTGGACCTCCCCAGGCTCAGCTCATCCTCCCACCTCAGCCTCCCGAATAGCTGAGACTACAGATGTACGCCACCACACCTGGCTAATTTTTGTATTTTTTGTAGAGACAGGGTTTGGCCATGTTGCCCAGGCTGGTCTTGAACCTATTGACTCAAGTGATCCTCCTGCACTGACCTCCCAAAGTGCTGACATTACAGGTGTAAGCCGCCATGCCTGGCCTCATTTTAACCTTTTTTATCTTATTAATTCAATATCACCACACACATTCTCATTGTTGTGCAACCATCACCACTATTCATCTATAGGGCTTTTTCATCTTTCCAAACTGAAACTCTGTACCTATTAAACCATAACTCCCCATTTCTCCTATCCCCAGCCCCTGGCAACCACCATGCTACTTTTTGTCTCTGTAAATTTGACTACTCTAGGCATCTCACATGAACAGAATCATATAGTATTTGTCCTTTTGTGACTGGCATATTTCAGTTAGAATGATGTCTTGGCCAGATGCAACATAGAGAGACCCCATCTCTACAAATAATAATTAATTTTAAAAATAATAATTAATTTTAAAAATTAGCTGAGCATAGTTGTATGAGCCTGTAGTCCCAGCTATGGGAGGCTGAGATGGGAGGATCAATTTTGGGAGGTCAAGGCTGCAGTGAGTCGCATTTGTGTCACTGCACTCCATGCCGAGTGACAGACCAAGACCTTGTTTAAAAAAAAAAAAAAAAAAAAGCTAGGAAAAAATATGGAAAGCAAGTACAGTTCTTGGCATACAATCAATGGCCAGTAGTTGCATCCATATAAATGACCCCATGTCTACCTTCAAACTGGGCCTATTTGCTTGTTAGTTTATTTGTTTATTTTTAATTTGAGACAGGGTCTCGCTCTGTCACCCGGGCTGGAATGCAGTGGCATGATGTTGGCTCACTGCAACCTCCCTCCCGGATTCAAGCTGTCCTCCTGCCTCAGCCTCCCGAGTAGCTGGGACTACAGGTGCCTGCCACCATGCCTGGCTTTTTTTTTTTTTTTTTTTTTTTTTTGAGACAGAGTCTCACTCTGTCGCCCAGGCTGGAGTGCAGTGATGCGATTTCTGCTCACTGCAACCTCTGCCTTCTGGATTCAAGCAATTCTCCTGCCTCAGCCTCCCGAGTAGCTAGGATTACACACCTGGCTAATTTTTTTATTTTTAGTAGAGACGGGGGTTTCGCCATGTTGGCCAGGCTAGTCTTGAACTCCTGACCTCAGGTGACCCACCCACCTCGGCCTCCCAAAGTGCTGGGATTACAGGTGTGAGCTACCATGCCTGGCCTGGAGTGCTGGATTTGTAACTGCTGTGGATCAACTTGAGTTTGTAGCAAAATCTGTTTAACGGACTCTGCAGATGGAGTGAGCTCTGTCGCAGGCAAGCCTTGGAGTCCAGGGTGAGTGCTTCGTACACACCTTCCGATGGACGTGGGGAAGGTGATGTGTAGAAGGAATGGCGGAAGTAATGTCCATGTCTCTTTGGGATGAGAAACACATATTTTACTAGCCTTGGAGAAAATGTAGATTTTTAAACCTGTAGTTGGGAGGCCCAGAACGTTCTTCTTTATAAAATTTGCCAGATGCTTAGCAGGACCTCCATGAGTCAGGGTTGTGATTTAGGCAGAAGTTTGTCTTTGCCCTGGTTCCCAACCTAAGGATGACTGTGTTCTCTTCTCCCTTTTCTTCCCTGTCTGATGAGTCCCCCATCGTCAGCACCCCCTGCCCACGCCCTTCTTTCGTCGCCCCCAACCCCAAGCTGCTCTCAGGCAGAGACCCGCTGCCACCTGCAGGTTAGTGTGGATTTTGGTCAACATATTGCGTCTCCCAGGAATAAATATTTTTCATTTCAGTGAAGGCTAGTTCAGAACTGCCCCCTCCCACCTCCATCACTCTAAATAAAAAACGTGTTTGCTAAATGCTGTGGACTGAATTATGTCCCCCTAAAAGTCATTATGGTGAAGCTCTCTCTACCGCATTGTGATGGTATTTGGAGGTGATGCCTTTGGGAGGTGATGAAGTCTAGATGAGATCATAAGGGTGGAGTTTGCATGATGGAATCAGTGCCCTTATAAGAGATACCAGCGAGCTTGCTTCCTCTTCCTCTCTCCGTCCACACACCAAGGAGAAGCCATGAGGCAAGGCAAGGAGGCAGCCCTCTGCAATCCAAGGAGAGAACCCAGGCCCCAGCCCAGACAGCACCTTGAACTTGGACTTTCAGTCTCCATAACTGTAAGAAAATAAATTCCTTTTGTTTAAGCCACTGGGTCTGTGGCTTTTTGTTAGGGCAGCCAGAGCTGACTAATATACTAAGAAGATGCAGGTTCGGGCTAGGCATGGTGGTTCATGACTGTAATCCCAGTACTTTGGGAGGCCGAGGTGGGCAGATCACTTGAGGTCAGGAGTTCGAGACCAACCTGGCCAACATGGTGAAACCCCATCTCTACTAAAAACTACAAAAAATTAGCTGGACGTGGTGGCGCATGCCTGTAATCCCCGCTACTTGGGACATTGAAGCACAAGAATCTCTTGAACCCCAGGAGTCAAAGGCTGCAGTGTGGCGAGATCGTACCACCACACTCCAGCCTAGGTGACTAGCATGAAACTCCCCATCTCTAAAAAATAAAAATAAAAGAAAAAGAAAGAAGAAAATACAGCTTCAAGACCAGCCTTCCAGCCTCTTTTTCCAAATAAATTGTTTTCCCTATGCCCCTCGTACGTAGAATTTCTGACACCGAAACAGCTTAACCCTTACCTGTACTTGTATAGGAAATTACCTAGATGCACCAGTAGCTCCCAGAGCACCACCAAGGCGAGCCATCCCAGGGTCGTGAAGCAGAAAGACACACAGTCTAAAAGGTTAACAAGCTTAGGATAGGATGCAAGTGGGACAGAAGGAGCACACTGTCTGGATCCAGATCATGCAAAGTTTACATGTCCTATCCTTTTCTCAGCTATATCAGCCTCGTGGTAGCATGGATATAAGGACCAGCATGGAAGTTCCAGTAGAGGGACCCAAGAAATGGCTGCACCCAGAGCCGACACATCCCCTCCTCCACCAGAAGACACAGGGCACGCATACCTGCCCATGGCTGCAGCTGGCTAGTCAGCCCACTGAGCAGCACTGGGCTTATCTCCCTTTTCTTGGGCAGAGTGAATATGGGGCCAGAATGGGACCACACTAGGTATCACCAATGTGTGGTTGACTTAGGCATGACATGACACAGCTGTCAGCTTATAGGGTGCAGAGTGATTTCCTATCTTTGAGGAACATTGCTGTTTGTTCCATTATACTGTTTATTCTATTTATGTTAATATGGCTTACAGATCACCAATTTACTTATTAACTATACTGAATGTATCCTTTTAGTTGTGTACATTATCTAACTTGCTTCCTTACAGGGAGAACAAAGCACCTTAATATTGTCCTAAATCACCCCAGGTGGGAAAGTCAGCCACAGCTTCTGCAAAGGAATTGTGGAACAGTATCAGATGTACAAGTAAGGGCTAGCAGATACATAACCAGATTTAGATATTACTTTTACATAGACATTTATTGCAGTGAGGAATATATATTCGGAGGGTTCTGTTTCCACAATGCTATATATTTTTGAAAGGTGCTACTGTCACATAACTCATGCACGATTATTCTACTGTGTCCTTATAATGCTGGAAGAAGAGGTGCCAGGATTGCATTAGTCATCATGCCCCTTACAACCCATCTTGCTCCCGCAGCCCTCTGCCTTTCTTTTGGCATGTGCACTTCTTGTTCCTGCCATATGAGTCTGTTGGAAAAGGAACATAAATTATTTTGAGCAGATGTGAACTAATGTTACCTTACTTGAAGAAAAGAAAGGAAAAACCTGCTGGAAACTCTGTTGTCACCTAAAAGAAAAGCACTGATGAGCTCCAAAGTGATGGAAAGTCGATTCCTACAGTTGTCCTGTTTTGCCACGCGGTGGCACCCACGCACCAGGAAGACACCACGGCTCTGGGGCGAGCGGCTGCTCTGCCGGCTTGGGTCTGTCCGGGAAAGGTCTGGCGGAGGTGGTGAGTGACCCTGAGAAGAGAAATGGACAGATGAGCCAGAGAAAGTGGATGAAAGCTAAGAACATGGAGAGAGCGTAAGGCAGAAGTTAAGAATGTTGACTTTGGAGCCGGGCGCCGTGGCGCACACCTGTAATCTCCGCACTCGGGAGGATCGCTTGAGCCTATAGGAATTGGAGACCAGCCTGGGCAATATAGTAAGAGCTCCCAACTCCTCCAACCCCCATCCCCAAAAACTGAATGTTGACTCCGGGGTCCACTACGTTGCTTTCCAATCCCAGCTCTGCCACTCAGGCACTTCAGTTCCCACTTTCTTACTGAGAAAGGCAGAGGGACTGGCTAAGGGCAGACCATTTGGTGGGAAAGGAGGGGTGATACGGTTTGGATATGCGACCCAGCCCGGATCTCATGTCGACTTGTAATCCCCGGCGTTGGAGGTGGGGCCTGGTGGGAGGTGATTGGATGGATCGCGGGGGGAGGGGTGGGTTTCTCATGAATGGTTTAGCGCCATCCCCTTGGTGCTGTCCTGGCGATCGTGAGTTCTCGTGAGACCTGGTTGTTTAAAAGTGTGTGGCATCTCCCTTCTCTCCTTTTGCTCCTGCTTTGGCCATATGAGGCGCTTGCTTCCCCTTCACCTTCCAACATGATTGGAAGCTTCCTGGAGCCTCCCCGGAAGCAGATGCCAGTATAAGGCTTCCTGCACAGCCTGCAGAACCATGAGCCAATTGAGCCTCTTTTCTTTTTTTTTTTTTTTTTTTTTTTTTGAGACGGAGTCTCGCTCCGTCGCCCAGCCTGGAGTGCAGTGGCACGATGTCGGCCCACTGCAAGCTCCGCTTCCCGGGTTCACGCCATTCTCCTGCGTCAGCCTCCGAGTAGCTGGGACTACAGGCGCCCGCCACCATGCCCAGCTAATTTTTTGTATTTTTGGTAGAGATGGTCTTTTTTTGTTTGTTTGTTTGTTTTTGAGATGGAGTCTCGCTCTGTCGCCCAGGCTGGGGTGCAGTGGCCAGATCTCAGCTCTGCCTCTCGGGTTTACGCCATTCTCCTGCCTCAGCCTCCCGAGTAGCCGGGGCTATAGGCGCCCGCCACCTCGCCGGCTATTTTTTTTTTTTTGTATTTTTTAGTAGAGACGGGGTTTCACCGTGTTAGCCAGGATGGTCTCGATCTCCTGACTTCGTGGTCCGCCCGTCTCGGCCTCCCAAAGTGCTGGGATTACAGGCTTGAGCCACCGCGCCGGCCGATCTGGTCGTTTAAATGTGTGTAGCTCTCACCTTGCTCTCTTGCTCCTGCTCTGGCCATGTGACTGGCTGCCTTCCACTTTGCCTTCCACCAGGACTGTAAGTTTCCTGAGGCATCCCAGGAAGATAAGCAGATAGCAGCATCATGCTTCCTGTACAGCCTGCAGAACAGTGAGTCAATTCAACTTTTCTTTATAAGTTATCCAGTCTCAGGCCAGGCACAATGGCTCATGCCTGTAATCCCAGCAGTTTGGAAGGCTGAGGCGGGCAAATCACTTGAAGTCAGGCGTTCGAAACCAGCCAACACGGCAAAACCCCATCTCTACTAAAACCCCACTCCAGCATGGATCACATCAGAGGATGAATGAGGCAGTTTGGGGATGACACTTGTTTGTCCTAAGAGACACCAGGATATGAGTCCTGACTTATTTGTAGCCCCGTTTCTCAGAAGATTTTTCCAGAGTCATGATGGCACCAAGGGATGGGAATTCTGCTCTGCAGATTGCTTGGAGGTAAGGCAGGTGATCAGGAAGACCTCTGACTCAGAATTTTCTGGGGACGTGGTGGCAGTGTCCTTTCCTCTCACCCCAGTTCTGCTTTGCTGCTCCCTCCCTCCCATTTCTGCCCCTCCACTGTGCACTTTCTTTTTTTTTTTTTTGAGACAGAGAGTCTCACTCTGTCGCCCAGGCTGGAGTGCAGTGGCCGGATCTCAGCTCACTGCAAGCTCCACCTCCCGGGTTTATGCCATTCTCCTGCCTCAGCCTCCCGAGTAGCTGGGACTACAGGCCCCTGCCACTTCACCCAGCTAGTTTTTTTTTTTTTTGTATTTTTTAGTAGAGACGGGGTTTCACCAGGTTAGCCAGGATGGTCTCGATCTCCTGACCTTGTGATCCGCCCGGCTCAGCCTCCCAAAGTGCTGGGATTACAGGCTTCAGCCACCACGCCCGGCCACTGTGCACTTTCTAATTTTTCCTACCTGCTTTCTTTTTCTAGCTCATCTCTCAACTATATCTTGTTATTTTCAGTTATCTTGCTTCCTCCTCTTGATAAAAACAAATACAGTAACAGATTCATCTGTTGTTAGCATGGATGTATGACTGTGGAAAAAGGAAAAAGCTCAGAAAAAGTCAGGGGTGGGGTGAGAGAAAAATTTATGGAGAATATACAAATGGCCACAAGCCCATGAGAAGATGCTCAACAGCACTAATCAAATGCAAACTAAAACCACAATGAGACATCACCTCATGTCCATTAGGATGGCCATTTTCAAAAGCATGGAAAATACCAAGTGTTGGCAAGAATGTGGAGAAATTGAAGCCCTTGAGCACTGTTGGTGGGAATGAAAAATGATGCAGCCACTATGGAAAACAATACAGAGGTTCCTCAAAAAGTTAAACATAGAATTACCCCACAATCCAGCAATTCTACCTCTGAATATATTTCGACAACAGGATCTCAAAAAGATATTTGCATACCCAAGTTCATTGCAACCACATTCACAATAGCCAAGAAGTGGAAGCAACTCAAATGTGCATTAATGATTGAATGGATAATGAAAATGTGGTATGTCCATACAATGGAATAATATTCAGCTTTGAAAAAGAAAGAAATCCTTTCATAAGCTACAACACGGATGAAGCTTCAAGGCATTAAATGAAAAAAGCCAATCACAAAACATAAGTGCTGCATAAAGCCATTCACATGAGATGTATAAAGTAATTAAACTCAGAAAAGTAGAGTGGTGGTTTCCAGGGGCCAGAGAGCCAGGAAAAAGGGAAGTTGTTCAATGGGCATAGAGTTTCAATCATGCAAGGTGAGGAAGTTCTAGAGATCTGTTTTACAACAATGTGTTTATAGTTAACAATACTGAACACTTAAAATTGTTAAGAAGATAAATTTATATTGTGTTCTTTACTGCAATTCCAAAAAAGCAACAGAGGCTCATACTACAACATGGATGAACCTTGATGACATTACGTTAAGTGAAATAAGCCAGTCACAAAAGGACAAATACTGGATAATTCTACTCACATGAGGTACCTAAGAGTAATCAAATTCATAGAGACAGAAAGTAGAAGAGCGGTTACTTGGGACTAGGAAAAAGGGATGATGGGGAGTTATTTATGCAGGGAAGGGGGAATGGGGAGTTAACAGGTACATAGTTGCAGTTTGGGAAGATGAAAAAGTTCTGGAGAGGGATGCAGTGGTGGTTGCATAACACTATGGATTTGCTTAATGCCACTGAAACATAAGCTTAAAATGGTTAAAATGAAAAATTGTATTATGTTTGTTTTCCTATAATTTTTTTAAAGGAAACAAAACAAAACAAAACTGTGGAGGCTCTCCAGAAAGCCTAGAAATGATTTATAGATGGCAGAGAAAATACAAAATAGCAGGAAGAAACAAGGTATAGGCACCACAGTCTGCCCATCTCCATCACTTTCCATGTCTGCTGATTCCTTGTCTTGAGCTCATTCAGTTTAGAGCCAGAAGACCCTCTAGATTCCATGAGTGCTAGCTTCCCCCCACCCCCACCCCCACCCCGTCTTTTTTTTGTGCAGACATCTTTTTTCTTCTCTTGCAGGAAAGCTTGCCAAACTAAACAACAGGCAATTAAGAACTGGTGTTGTTAACAAGTTATTTCTGTTTTCATTCATAATAACAGAGCTTCCAATTTCAATGTGGAAACGACATCTTGATTTCTACAATAAATCCAGAACACAGAAAGAATGGAATTAATTGAAGACCTCCTTTGGCCTTTGCCCAAGTTGGCTGTGGGAGAGTTTGGCAGGGTACAGGAACATCTCTTGAAGAAATCAGCTTACACAAAAAAATCCACGCAGCAGAGCTCCCTAGGGAAGGAGATCAAATTAATTCAGAACTTGACTTACGCCAGACGTGGTGGCTCATGCCTGTAATCCCAACAATTTGAGACACTGAGGAAGGAGGATCTCTTGAACCCAGGAGTTTAAGACCAGTCCGGGAAACATAGCAAGATCCCATCTCTATTAAATAAAGACAACGAAATAAAACATTTTAAAAAAAAAATTGTGAACCTAGACTGGAATAAATATTTTATATATATACACACAAATATATATATACACACACACACAGACACACACACACACACACACACACACACATATATAGTACAGTGGTGGTTTCCAGGGGCCAGAGGGAGAAGAAAATGGGAAGTTGTTCAATGGGCATAGAGTTTCAATCATGCAAGATGAGGAAGTTCTAGAGATCTGTTTTACAACAATGTGTTTATAGTTAACAATACTGAACACTTAAAATTGTTAGGAAGATAAATTGATATTGTGTTCTTTACTGCAATTCCAAAAAAGCAACAGAGGCTCATACTACAACATGGATGAACCTCGATGACATTATATTAAGTGAAATAAGCCAGTCACAAAAGGACAAATACTGGATAATTCTACTCACATGAGGTACCTAAGAGTAATCAAATTCATAGACATGGAGTCTCACTATTGTCACCCAGGCTGGAGTGCAATGATGCAATCTTGGCTCACTGCAACCTCTGCTTCCTGGTTCAAGTGATTCTCCTGCCTCAGCCTCCCGAGTAGCTGGGATTACAGGCGCCCACCACAATGCCTGGTTAATTTTTTGTATTTTTAGTAGAGATGGGGTTTTAGCATTTTGGCCAGGCTGGTCTTGAACTCCTGACCTCAGGTGATCCACCCGCCTCAGTCTCCCAATGTGCTGGGATTAAAGGTGTGAGCCACCACGCCTGACCAATAAAATATATTTCTAAAAAGAAGAAAAATAAGAACTTGATGTAAAGATCACATGGGAATGTGCCAAAGACATTGCTATTAGCTGCAGCAAAATGCCTCCCACACCGAGAATGGAGAGAAGAGACTCCTACAAACCTCACCAAGGGCTGTTCCTGACTTTGGGGAATGTATCCTACTCACCCATTTATGACCATCTTTTTCCTAGAGAGATGTAAGCACCTGATGAGTTCTTCCTGCCCACTGCACAGACAGAATCAACCCACTGAGAATGAGGCATTGCAGTAAAGAGTTTAATTGACATGACAGCACACATGTGAGAACTAGAGTTGTCACTCAAATCTGTCTCTCCTCCCCCGCAGCCCCCACCAAAGGTTCAGGTGTTAGGGGTTCTTTTTTTTTTTTTTAAGA